ACAATTCTAGGAGTGTTTTATTAGTAATTATTTCTTGTATATGCATTCATTTGCCATGTCTTGAAACTTTAATAAAATAAAGCTGAGTCGTCATTTCAAAAAAAAAAAATTTTGTCTATAAACCTTTTCACTCAAAACCTTGACTCCTAATGACCAAGAAAAGTCAAGTAGCACCTTTGATACTAATAGTAAGAAAATTCTCAAAGAAAGAAGAATTAAGTGTAAAGTGTCTGAAATAAAGATGGGTCCCTAAAGGAGAAGGTAAAAACAAAAGTCAAATATCCCTTACTAGAAAAAATTAAAATTTTTAAATTAATGATTATAAAAAAACTATCCAAAATTATTTTCCATTATTCAAATCATTGATTTATAATATTTTCTAACTTTTGTTCCTATTAAAATGAAGAGTTATAAATTTCATACCTCAAAAAGGGATACAAGTAATTTATGAAATTTTATATGCTAAATATTTTAGAAATCTATTATTAATCTGAAAACCTTTTTAACCTTTAAAGTAAGAAATTTATAGAGATTTATTATAGTCAAAAGACTTATTTTCTCTCTTTTAAACTGTCTTGATCCTCTTAAAGTTCCCATTTTCATGGTTTTCTGGAGTATTTTGTTTATCTCAATTTGATCCTGAATTGAATAGTACAAATTTTCACTAAAGGTAATTGACTAATATAAAATATATCAGTTTTTGGAATATAAACAAGCTCTTATTGATCATATCCATATGTCTCATTACTGTATATCATTGATAATATAGAAAAGAAAGTTTTAGAAAAAGTGTTTTTTTCAACTATATATATTTGACCTTTAGAAAACAATTATGATATTGAAAGGTGAGTGATGGATAAGTAAACAGATCTGACTCTCATTTCTCATTAAATTCTTCAAGTGGTGAAAAAACTTTCTTAAACAAAGTTGTAATCTCTAAGCTTCTATTTTAGTCAGGCAAAGTTCTTGAAAAGATTTCTTTATCTAGTCAGGCAAACTTTTCTGTAATATGGTACTGGCTCCAGTAGCATTAAGTGAATCTATATATTAGCAAAAGAATAAGTTTCTCAAATATTCTTTTTAAAGACACTTTTAGGAATAGTTAAGTTTCTCAAATATCATTAAGCTTAAAGAATATTTCAATTAATCAAACCCTTTTTAAGAGAAAACTGTGAAATAAAACAAGAACCTTTTGAAGGACTTTGAATTATATTTTCTTTTTTCTCTTTTTTTCAATATTATACTTTAGCAATTTCTCATTTTTTGAAATAATTAATAGTAACAAACTATTAACAATAATCCTAATTGTCTTAAAAATATTATACTAAGCTATTAGAAAAGCATAATATTGTTTCTTAAATTTGACTTAGAGTATTTAATTTAGATTTGGTTTTGTTTAGTCTGAACTAGCTTGATGAACTCCTTATATTTTTTAAGTAGTGTAGTTCTTTAACTAATAATATATAATTACAAGTTAACCATTTTGTAAATTCGATAAAATATTTTGATATCTTTTAGTATTTCAATAAAAATATGCCAAAATGGCATAATTACAGGTTAAAAAAAAAAAAAAAAAAGTAAGTAAATTAAATATATTTAAAATAGATTTTTTTTTTAAAACCCTCTATTAGACTAACTATATATACTTTATTTATTTCTTAATGATGAATTTTTTCTGTAAATCTCTAAATATCATTTCCAAAGAAGAATTTCTTCAAAACTTTATGTTTTGAGAATACTAAAACTTCAAAACTTTCCCTAAAAAACACTTGCTTCACTTAGCAGTAGTTATATTCTATCCTTCTTGTTTATTTTTTCTCTTAATAAACCTCTTACTTAAGAAGTTAATAGCAAGAAAGCTTTTCTAGAAAGAAGAAATCAAATGAAAAAGTATCCTCTCTCTCTTCCCTATAGAGATCCCAAAGTTCAGAAAGAAGTTTGAACCAATAACAACTCTATGCCAGCCAGTAATTTGCCATTAATATCATATGTAAAAATAATTTCTTTCACAATATATATAGTTTTCTTGATTTTTCTAAGGAATTTTGCCTACCTTAGCTTGATCCTGAATTTTCTGTTACACCGATTTTGGATAGATTGATTGATTGAAATCTGGAATTAATTACTATATAGTTAACAGAAATGTAAACAAGAATATTTATAATATGAAACATGAATGCATTTTCTAAATTCTATAAAAACAATAGATCTATCATAAATTATTAATTAGTTATGCAAGTGGATAAATATCATATAAACTGTGATTTTTTCTCTCTCATTAATCCTGAAAGTGTCAAGGCTATAAATTGAGTACCTTTAGAAGCAAAGTTAGATAAAAGAGCTGTTGTTAGATGTTCCTTCATTCCTTTCCTTATTTTATTTTTTTGTAAATATTTTCAACCTTCTTCTCTATTTTAATTTTTTTTTTTAATACTAACTAATTACAAAACTAGTACAAGAGATCCTCAACACTGAAGAGTGTTGGGAATCTTGAGCATGTCTTGGCATGTTAGGTCCTATTAGTAAGTGGCAACAAGCTGATCAGTAGGTATATTAATATATTTTAAATAATATTAATTCTTAATTATAGAAATGGATCAATAATACACAACCTGTATATCTCATTTATCCCTAGCTTTGTTTTCAAAAGAGAAGTATTTATACTAGACAGTTATATATTTTCCTTATCCTAGTTAGGTTAGACATAGATTGAGTCATAAAAATAGATAATTATTTGTTTTATTTTTCTCTAGTGATCTGTAAATCCTTAGACAGTATGAAAAAATATTAATCTTGATTGTTGCTAAATATGATCTTTTCTTAATAAAGTACTGGAAAAGGTGTGGGATGAGCCAGTTTTAATAATAATAATAATACTGTATGTATGTATATACGTGTGTACTGTATATAATAAATTCTTATGGGTATATTACATGAGAAGATTTTAATTGTTGAGGATTTACAATTGGAAAGGGTCAACGGTAAATTGATTAAGCATATAATGTAAATTTATTAAATATTAAAATCATAATGATAATTATAAATAAGAAACTTTTTGAATATATATTATTTTTTACAGGATTGTATTTCAAAAATAAATCTTAATCTTAAAACAGTAACTACTTCAAACCCATTGTTGCAATTTGGAATGCGGTGATATCCAAACGAAAAAGTGACTTTCATTCTATTTTTTCCTACAGCAAATTCTGAACGTTTCGGCAAGTGTCCTAAACAGTTCACATTCACCGTGAAACCTCTCCAATATCGTATAATACTCATCCTCACTAATATTCATGTGTCCCGGTAATACTCGACTCATATTATTAAATGCCATTGAGAAATAGGTTAACGTGTAAACACCCAAACGACCGGCCCACTTTCCTAGGGGACTGGAGCGGTGGTCATGTTTTACCAGAGAGAAGGAGTATGTGGAACGGAGGTAATTTAAAAGTGAGTTGCTGATGATGGCTTTGATTCCTTTGTCTTGAAAGTAATCGATCGCTATATATTCAGGATTTGACATTTTAGCTTTATACTGTATATTAGATCATAGACGTATTGTACATACTTGAATTTTGTAATTTTGCGGTATAGGGCCCTGCATTGTGAAATATCATATCCATTTCCTAATAATACAGTAAAAACCATTAGTCTCGATCACGTGAACGGACAAAACGGGTTACGGAAAGTACCATTATCTCGATCCATCCTTTCGACCGCGTAATCCTAGTCATCTCTCTAATGGCCATGGCCCATTGTGACTCGGTTAGATATTGTACCAAAAATCTTAAATGCACAAAGTCAAATTCACCGTCGTCGAATGGGAGACCGTCGAGAACGTTGAGCTTTTGGAAATGGGCGTTTGGTGGAATCGTCAGGGAAGGATTTGTGCTGGAAGCAGGGTTGTTGGACGGAAAGTAGTCGGAACACATGTCGATACCGATGAAGGTGGAGTTTGGATATTGGACCGACATATCTAATACCCATGATCCACTACCACAGCTGATTCAAAATTTAGATGCGCGAAAAATTAAATTGGCAACCTTTTTCAAAATTCTCCATCAAACATTTCAAAATAATACATACCCAATATCCAACACGCGAATTCCCTGATTTAATTCCTCATCCAAAGGCGAGGAAAAATTCCCTTGCCACACATATCTGAACAAAACGTGCCTCAATTGTATTCTGTCTATATGTTCTTCGCGACCTGGTAATTCATACTTTTTTTGCTCGTCGATAGAATCATAGGTTTTTGGAGAGACTTGTTGAAAAGCTGGCGTAATGTCGGGCGGGTATAATGCGCTATCGAAATGAACCCGTTTGTTGGAAAAAGTATCGTTGTCGTGACTATTGCGTGAATCAGCACAGTTTCTCTGCGTGGAGTGGGGTAAAATAAGTGAGAGTGTTTTTTTTGAGAGAAGGCGGGAAAGCGTGCAATCTTGCTGGGGTTCTGAAGAGTCATCTTCAGAGTAGGCTTGGCCCATCTATTTCTGCTAATATATTTTGAGTGCCGATTGAGTGGATAGAGAATTAAAAAAAACATCAGTAAATTTATACTTGTCGACTTTACAAGGCATGGAATACACAAGACTTATTGCGTATATCAAGGTGACAATTGAGAATACACAAATTTTTGAATTAAAATTTCGGACATTATCCCAACAAATGACAATCGATTCTTTACAATAGCGTTACTGCATTTGTGTATAACACACACGAATGCTTGATTGTAAACAGAGTTACAAGCAATTACGCATCCCTCTTTCTACTTCAGTCAGCACCCGGTGGGACGCAAATAATTAATTGCCAAGACTTTGTATAAGTCACAAATGTCATATGGAATGTCTTATCAAACAAGATATATCCATATGCGTAAACTCCACCTTTTGCTTTTTTTCTATCTTTGGATCCCTGCCTGTTATTATTGCTTACGTAAACATGACGCATACTGATTGTATTCTAACTGCGCTTTTTTCTAAAACCGTGATCGAATGTTATTAAATCAGGCATGATGCCAAACCTTCGGCGTGATTATATAAGCACGTGACACGTTTTCTAACCTCCGCTTAAGTAAGATTTCGAATTTACAAGATTATCAAATTCATGTGCCGTTTTATTTATATTTTATCATTAGTTTGTTACTTCAAAAAATTTTTTTTAATTTCACTGATACAGTATCAGGTAAAAAAAAATATTAATAAAGATTTTAGAGAAATATTTATTCATTCATTCATTTCAAAAGTAACTTAATTGAGTCCTGATATCTTTTTTTAAAATAATGAACCTTTGTCATAATAATATTATTATCTTAGCAAAGATGTAACATTTTTTATCATGCGAATGGTTTGATTCCAATAATACGTTAATACTGTAGAAATCACGTCCGAAGCATGACAACGTGTCCGTATTATTGAAAACCGATACTCTAGAAAAGCAGATTTAAATAAAACTCCAACTCGTACAAAATAATTATTCACGACGCGTAAGATCATAATCTGAAATCGGAATAAGTTTAATGAAGCGCGTTATAAGCTTTTGCTGTGGATATGAGAGAACATTAGGAGATATTGTATATTTTTGTTTTTCTCTTCTTCTATTAAATAGTTAATTTTCTATTGAAATATCTGTATGCGCATTCCATGACATGCGCATTTTCTTAAAGAAAGTGTATTTATTATTCTAATATGGGGAAGAGAAGGTTTTTTTTGCTAGGTTTACTAACCTGAAGGCGAATTAGTTGTTTTACTGCATATTCCGTATAGCTTACTTTAAATTCGCATAAAGGAATAAAGGGGTAAAGAAAACCAACCATTATCGAGCAAACCGTGGCGACAGAAGCCCCTTGGCTATTTTCTTATCATTATCTGATAACGTTTGTTATGAATTGATTGATGATCTGATAATTGCTAAGGCGTCGATTCGGTTGTCATCTGACAACATTGTTACAATTTATGTGATTAGTACAGTAAATACGCTTATGCACTCTTTGAATAACTTTTTTTTTGGGAAATTGATTTTATTTTTTAAGCCATAACCACTATATATTTTTTAGATTACTCAATACGGATAGGAGTTTATGAAAATGAACCATTGGAAACAATGTTATTGATATATTCATCGAACGAAATTGACAATGCACGATAAAGTGGTGAGACTATCGAATTGATTCCTTTTGGAAAGTTTAATAATGTTTAACATCCGACAAAAAGATAATCAATGATTCAGGTATCCTCCTAAGAGGCAAACTTTCGTATTGAGCATAGGCACATGTTATTTCCATTTGCAATTTTTTCTTCCAACCACAACTAAAAAAAATCTCAATAGGTTACGTATTTTAATGAAAGTATTGGTAATGGATTTTGTGAATATATTTTTCCAAAAAATTTTTGACTATAATTAATCTTGAAATAATCATACTCGAAGTGCTTTTGGATTCTTTTATTATTCACAATGTATAGTACAGGCCCGTTGACTCAAGATTTGGAGTATGAACCTAACATCAAGGAAATGCGTAATCTATGTTCGAATTTTTTACTCATCCTCGAGCAATTCAACTTCGTTCATTCAGATATCTTAGAATCCACGAATTCTGATTATGCTCATTGATACTTTATGGAATATTGAAATCAGATTTACCAACCATGGCAGGTTATTTGTATTTCATACACGAGAGATCATGAATTCATATTACATCTAATATGTTAGAAGTATTACGTATAAAAATTATATACACGAATGACTCGAGCTTTTAGTAATATTTTTAAAAGACGTGGGGGCACCATCATATCGTACGATGAAAAATGGAGAAACTTTATTAAAGGGACATATCGGACCATTCAATAACCAACATCCTATTTTCCGATTGGTATATCCTTTGGCGCGAATTATTAATTGTTGTGCGAGAACTACTCTTGACAGTACGCACTCGACGATTGGTCGGAATTTATTCAGTAATTGGCTTTCTATATTTGACTCCGACTGTCAGCCAGGAAACTTCTTAGAAAGTTATTTTGTCCATCTGCAATCTCATTAGGCATCCAAATCCTTGCAGAATTCCAATATTGTTATCATTTCAAAGGCTGGAACGATCTCACGAAATACGGACTAATCAGGGACTTCATAAGAAACAGTCGAACATACTGTACGCTGATCACTCAAAAATCTATATTTGAAATTGACGTATAAAATCGGGTAAAAATAAATATTGTGGGACAAGTGGTACTGAATTTTATGTGAATAGGGAATGAAGATTATCAATTCCCACGGTTTCGAAATGCCGTGGTGTGATGCATCCTGCTGCAAAGCCCAAGAACAATATAATTACCTGGAGGCAATCACGTGGTACACCCGATTCACCTGAAAGTATTTTAAGTCAAAAGTGCCAAGAAAATAATTATAAATTTATTACTTTAATATCGTTATTTACCAATTATTATACTGTATATTATGTTTAATAAATTTCTTTTTTACTTGAATCAATTATAAAGCAAAAATTATTTTCAAAATTATATTTAAGGTTAAAAAACAAGCATTCAATAAATAAATAAATAAATAAATATACTGTATATACTGTATATATATATATATATATATACTTTTTTTTTTTATTGGCAATTATGTTACAATGGCATGTTTTTATTGAGATATTAAAAAGATATCAAAATATTTCATAAACTATTACAAAACAATTAACTTATCATTATATATTATTAATTGAAAATTATATTGCTTAAAAATATAAAAAAAACAAAATCAAGTTTTAACTAGATACTTTAAGTCAAATTTAGGAAATAATATTATACTCTTCCAATAGTTTAATATTAAAATCTTTAAACTCTAGAATTATTATTAACACTTTATTACTATCAATTATGCTAAAAAATAATAAATTATTAAAGTAACTAGGGAAAAAGAAAATTCAAAATATTTTTAAAAGATTTTTTTGCTTATTCAATAATTTCTTCTCAAAAAGGATTTGCTTAATTGAAATATTTTTTATGCTTTGCTTGAGCCTTAGAAATGATTTTTTTTTTATCACTATTTATAATATTATAAATGAAACTATTATTTAATCAAGTATAAAATTAAAATATTTAAATAAAAACAAAAAATCTCAACTTTTTTTTTAAAAAAAAAAAGTATTTTTATTATTTAAGAAACTTAAATAAAGAGAAAAGTTAAACTAATTGCATTATACTTATAATATCTTTTGATATTATAATTATTTTACTAAAGAACTTATTCAATTAAAAATGAATTCTTTTTAAAATTTTCTTTTTATATTATTATTAATATTATTAGATTATATAGATATAATTAATTAAAGTTTATTTATCTTTTCAAAAACTAATATGCTTCATATTAACCAATTATCTTTAGTAAATATTTATATTATTTAAAGTTCAAAGTCACCACTTTTAAAGAAGTATTTTTTTAAAACTTTATATTTTAAAAGTAATAAAATTTCAAAACTTTCCTTAAAAACACCTATTTTATTTAGTAATAATTATACTCTATCCTTCTTGTTTACTTTCTTTTCAAAAACTCTCTATATAAGAAGTTAATAGCAAGAAAACTTTTCTAGTAAAAAGAAACCAAATAAAAAAACACACTTCTTTTCTTCCTTATAAAGATTTCAAAGTTTAAAAAAAAGTATAAGTCAATATCTCTATATTAGCTTGAAAAACTGATATCATTATTATAGGTAAAAATAGTTTTTTTTTCAATATATAAAAGTTTTTCTTGATTTTTTGAAAGAAATTTGTCTATTCTAACTTGATCCTGAACTTTTTATTACACTGGATTTTGAATAAATTGTTTGCTTCATGATTAATAGAAATGTAAACAAGAATATACATAACATGGAACATAAATATATTTCCTAAGCTTCATAAGAACTTTAGGTTCATTATAAGTTATAAGTTAGTTATGCAGACAGATAAACATCTCATAGATATGAATCCCTAAAGTCTAATATTATATCCTATAACTGAAAGTTTTATAACCAAAAAAGATTTATATCTCTTCCATATTTTAGGTTAGAAGACATAATTATATAATCAAAAAGGATTTATATCCCCTCCAGACTTTAGGTTAGAGGACATAATTATATAACTGAAAGTCAAATTTTTATAATTGATAGTCAATTTATTATTAATCAGCAATTTTTTATAA